TTTTTGCGGTACGTGGGCCTCTCACTGCTGTGGCCTCTCCCGTTGTGGAGCACAGGCTCCGGACGCGCAGGCTCAGCGGCCGTGGCTCACGGGCCCAGCCGCTCCGCGGCATGTGGGATCTTCCCGGACTGGGGCACGAACCCGCGTCCCCTGCATCGGCAGGAGGACTCTCAACCACTGCGCCACCAGGGAAGCACCCTTGCATGGATTTTGATGGGGATTACAATGAATGTATAGATTAGTTTGGGAAAAACAAACATCTCCATACCACTGAGTCTTCTAATTCATGAATGTGGTTTTATACACACACACATACACACACATACACACAACACACACACATACTTATTGGGTGTATAATTTCTCTGTATAATTTTATAATTTTCAGTTTAGGGTTTTCCTTGTATTTTGTTATATTTTTTCTGGATATTTGTAGGTTTTTGATGTTATTGTAAATTTCATTTTAAAATTTTCATTTTGTGATTGTTATAGTACACAGAAATACAGTGGACTTTTGTATATTGACCTGGTACCTAGTGACCTTGCTAAACTGACTTAATTATGATACTTTCTTTATGATTGTTAAATTTTTCTATGTGCACAATTAGGTCATCAGTAAGTAAAGAGTTTTATGTCTTCCTTTCTGATTTTATGCCTTTTCTTTCTTTTCCTTGTGCTATTAAACTCAACAGACTGTTCAGAGTCAATACTGACTAGACGTCACGATAGTGGGAAATTTTGTTTCATTCTGTTTTCTAGGGGAACACTTTCAGTTCATAACCATTAAGAAATACATTAGCTTTAGGATTTTTGTAGATAAACTTTATCAAATTAAGGAGGTTTCTTTCTTTTCCTAGTCTGCTAACAACAACAACAAAACTTAACATGGACACATTGAATTCCATCAGTGTTTTGTATCTACTGAGATGCTCATACAGTTTTTCTTCTTTATTCTCTAAACATGATGAAATTTACCAATTTACTTTTTTTTCCAAAAATTTTATTGTGGTAAAATACACATAACATTAAATTTACTACCTTAAATATTTTTAAGTGTACAGTTTAGTGGCATTAAGTACACTCACGTTGTGCAAACATCACCACCATCTTTTTTTTTTTTAATTTAATTTATTTATTTATTTATGGCTGTGTTGGGTCTTCGTTTCTGTGCGAGGGCTTTCTCTAGTTGTGGCAAGCGGGGGCCACTCTTCATCGCGGTGCATGGGCCTCTCTTGTTGCGG